TCTCCTGGCCGGTCAGCCTCACCTCCATCGCAGTAAAGATGATGGAGCAGCTCATCCTTTCTGCCCAACTTTCCACCCTGTCCAGGTCATGCTGAATGACAGCACAGCCTTCTGGTGTATCTTCCACACCTCCCAGTTTGGTGTCATCAGCAAACTTGCTGAGGGTACACTCTAGCTCTTCCTCCAGGTCGTTGATGAAGAAGTTAAACAAGACTGGGCCCAGTACTGACCCCTGGGGGACACCACTTGTCACCGGCCTCCAACTAGACTCAGCGCCGCTGATGACAGCCCTCTGAGTTCTGCCATTCAGCCAGTTCTCTATCCACTTCACCGACCACTCATCCAGCCCACACTTCCTCAGCTTCCCTAGGAGGATGTTACGGGAAACCATGTCGTTGTCGAGGTAGACAACATCCACGGCTCTCCCCTCATCTACCCAGCCAGTCATGCCATCGTAGAAAGCTATCAGATTGGTCAGGCATGATTTCCCCTTGGTGAATCCATGCTGACTACTCCTGATAACCTTCTTTTCCTCCACTTGCTTGATGATGGCCTCCAGGATAAGATGCTCCATCACCTTTCCCGGGATGGAGGTGAGGCTGACCGGCCTGTAGTTCCCTGGGTCCTCCTTAATATTTCGCCTTAAATATGAAAGATTGTCAAAAGCCGTACAATTAAAAAGACTTGCAAAACGTTGTTTCGTATTTCAGCTGGAACAGTCCAAACAGTAACTGAAATAATATCTCTGAGCCTTGACTCAGAGCGCCAATGTGAAAACTTGCAGTCGAAGGGCAAAATGCTTTGACCACACATACGTCCCCCCAACCCTGGTGTATCTTTGTTTTAAATTTTGGCCGCTGCTTTCTCTTCTTTCCCTTCCCCTCCTCCCCCTCTGCATTTCCCGCTTTCACCAGGGTGCGCGGAAGGTTACGCCAGAGATGCCACAGAGATACAGAACATTCAGATTGCTGATGGCGACGTCTGCCGGGGCCTGCCCATTCCTATATACATGGTGTTTCCCAGGCTGTTCACCTGCCCTACCCTGGAAACGACAAACTTCAAAGTTGGTAAGTGCGCAGGACGTTACACTGCCTTGGCGTCTTTCACCTGAGGCACGTTTCTGGTTTCACTTGAGCTTCGGGCAGGTAGCGGGCTAAATCGCTGACAGCGCTGCGAGAAGAACCGAGGACACCCATCTGTTTCCCTGTAGAGGCTTCCTGAACAGGACTGCAGTCTCCTGTATTTCATATGGATTGAGAAAATACAGCCCAAATACTTCTACCTAAAAACAGTTGTGCAACTGTTAAGCTGCTTATGCCTAATGGAATTATACGGTAGAGGGACAGGAGAAACAGCGTAATGGCAGGTAATTTTTTTTTTCTGCCAAAAAATAACGTGTGACTAAACACCGGAGTAGTAGCCCAAGAATAAAATGCCAAGATGACCCCTTCCCTCTTTTCATCACCAGCAAGAACCCCTCTTTCCATTTTCTCTCCTTTGTTTCCCGTTCTCCTGCTTCACAGACTCAGAAGTAAGGTCAGGCTGTGTGTGACTTTGCTTCTCTTGGTCTACTCCAGCTGCGCATTTGTGCTCACTGCTGCCAAAATCCAACATTTTCATTAACAAACACCTGAAACTTCAAGTTTTCCTCACTTCTTCAAATAATTACTGCAAAATTCTCTTCACTAGGCTGTTTTTCTTCCCTTCATCCTGCTGGAATCTGTTGGTGCTTCTATTTTATTCCATTGTATCAGATTGAAGCTACAAGTCCCTGCTGTTAGGACCTTTCCCAGCTGAAGCCACTCCTACTTCTCTGCTGTCTGTCGGGGGCAAATGTGCACAGTTTAGTTTTTCAGCTTTGCCTGCCTGTTTCTGTTCCACCAAAGAGCATTTTTGCACCTAATGTGTACAGTGATGTTCCCAAAATTAGTATTCTTTACTTTTTGCCATTTCTAGCTCTTGCATAGTAATTTACAGGGACACATAGCTACTGTTATTGTAGTATCTATTTTTATTTATAAGAACAGTCTTAATATAGTTACGGAGATTCTAAAAAAGGACAACTATTGTCAGTTTATTTTGATCTCTGGCCCCTTTCATTTATTAACTCTACCTGACTTTGTATGCTGTCTCCACTTAGGATTGATCATAGATCTGATACTGATCTTAGTTTTGAACAACACAATACAGTATCTAAAGAGTGTATTTTCTTTGGAAAAAAATTTCCATAGTTTGCAGGTATGTTGTATTTTGGTTTTTAATTTCATAAGGCCACACGTAATGCAGGATTCTAGGGCTGACGGCAGGGGAGGAGTCTGATCCCTAACTCTTCCACCTACGGGCGTCTAAACAATGCATGTGGGGCGTGAGGCGTCTTCCCAGAATGTTTTGATCTTAGATCTCGGAACTCCGCCTGTGGTCCAGCAGACTACCTGTCACAGCTTTTCAGGGAGATGGAGATGAATCCGGAGGAGTCCCAAAGATTAGAGGAATCCCAGAGGTTCTTTAGGAATGGCCCAAGGCCTGGGAATGCCTGTGGTGAGGCTCTGCCCGGGGCACTGCGCTCATCCCTGCCCCAGGAAAACCCGGGGCATGGGAAGAGCTTGGCAGGGCCCTGTCCGGGAGCCGGAGCTGCTGCCTCTTGTCCTGCTGCTGCCAGCCAGACTCACGCGGGACTCCTTTCTTCCCCCCCCCTCCTTCTTCCAGAGTTTGAAGTTAACATTGTTGTCCTGCTGCACGATGACCACCTCATCACAGAGAACTTCCCCCTGAAGCTCTGCAGGATGTGAAGTGACAGAGGAGAATCACTGAAGGATTTACTGAAAAAGGACAAAATTCTTCAGAGGCAAAGTGAAATTTTATCCATATCTAACTGAAAACACATCGCTTCCTGCTCCCTGCTGGTCGTTCTTGTGCTTTCAGTTCTCTCTAAGCCTTGCCAAGACTTTGCCTGCCTTGCGGTAGCCGGTGTGGATGTGCCTCCCCAGAGAGCCTTGTCAGGCCTCTTTCTCACTTCAGAAACATTCCGAAGAAAACTTCTGTTTTCCCCAGTTTTTCAGCAAATCCTGAAGGAATAATTCTGTATATTTCTACGAGTTGTAGAAATATGTAGTAAGTTTGTCTCCTTGTTTCATTTTGTAATGCTTGTTCCACAGCTCTTTAAAGAGCTCACAAACCTGGTAACTCCTGTTAGGGGTGGTGTGTACGTAGTGGGAGGAGGGTATGGGCTGTGTAACACGATCCCGAGTAGTGTCTGTGACGGTGTAATAAATGGTGCTACGACAACAAGAGGTGGTGGTGTGGGGTGAGGATCACAAGATGAATGTGGAGTGAGTGATGTGAAATGTGTAATGATGGGAGATAAATAACACCAGGTGTATTTTGGTCAGATTGGGAACACGAGTCTGCACTGGAGGAGTGCTTGGAACTGAAGGTGGTGGTGCAGCCTACTGTAGGTGGCCCTGCTTCGGCAGGAGGGTTGGACTAGATGACCCACAGAGGTCCCTTCCAACCTCTACCATTCTGTGATTCTGTTTGCGTGTGGCTCTTCCCTCAATTAGAAAAGAAAATGCCCTTACTTTATCTTTGCTATTTATGTAAAACAGCACTGAAAAAAGATCAGTCTAAAGTTTTTCATTTGAGAATATACTTATTTTTTGCATGATACCATCTTCCTTTTTATAAGGCTTCTACAGCTCAGACTGGCTGTGAAAAAGAAATGTCTCATGCGACAAAGGGCACCGCGGCGGTGCTGCAGACCGGCCCGTGCTGACTGACAGTGGCAAAACTGCATTAGAAACTTCTGTGCCGTGACAGCTTGTGCCTTCAGGCTGTGACTCATCATCACACAAGTCACCCTTCCGAGGGAGACCGGCCAGTCACTCCTTTTAATTAGGTGGGTCAGTACTGTCACTTGTTCCGCTTGAAGTATGGATGTGAATAGTAGGAAAGGTGTAAGTTAAGGTAAATAACTGTACATCTTGAACTACAGAGGAAGACTGCTTCAGCAAGAGACCTTTCCAACACAGACCAACAGGCTCTGCAGTTTTATGCTGTTTGAAGTTAACAGAACAGCTACACTCTCATTCTGTGAATTTTTCCATACAATGTTATGTGGGATGGAGGCTGGCTATGTCTATAAAGCGTTTGATATAAAGTACAAATGTAAAGATGGCAACTTCAAAAGACAGAAAAAAAATCATTTCCTTCAGCTTTATCTAGCTGCATTGCCAAGCTTGAAAATGTAATTCTACGTTTGGCCCTCATTCTGTGTCATCTCTATTGTAGGAATAAACATCTGAAATTCTTATTTCAATGTCTTACAACAGTCTTGGCAGGGGGGGAAGGCTATTTGCTAAAACCTCTCACTTTCTAGGTTTGGGACATTGCACAGGATGATTTTTGGAAAATGAAAGTCCCTCCTCCTTGCCTACAGGCTGGTGTCAGAGTGCCATCTGCTGCGCAGAGCAGCCCTGCTTCCCCCCCCCCAGCCATTTGCAGAGTGGGACTGGCATTTGT